AAGTATGTGAGTTTCTCCATACTTAAGGACTTCTTTTTATTTTAATACTAGCCAACTATCATGGAAAGCTTAAAAATATGTATTTCAGAGAGCTTTCAGATGAAAGGCTCTGAAGAAAACTGGTGGTGTATGGGAAGAGGAGGCTGCGTCGTTTGGGAGGAGAGCAGATCACAGGCAGACATGCTGCTTGAGGTTTGTTTTCTGGTTTTCCGGAAGAGTTGTTGCTTTAGAGAAAATGAGTGCTCGAGAAACTAGACCTTGCTAAAGCAGGAATATATGAGTGATGTTGGAGCCAGGCCATGGAGTACTTGGGTAGGAGTTCAGCACAGAGCTGGATGGGGAATTTCTGATGAAACTTCTGTAAGAATGGGAACTTTTTGTGAGATATATGCCCATTTAAACTCTGTCCCTGGGGACAAGATTTCCAGTGCTGATGTGAAAACTATGGTCAGAGGGAGGGCATGACACACCTCTGACCAGCACTCTGGTGGCCAACACACTTACCTGGACCACAGAAACGTGATATGAGGTGTGTTATATATCCATGCTGCCTTTCTTTAGGCCTCTGAGGAGGGGAAAGTACCAGGATAATCCAACTGTACATTTTTCAGCCTGGAGCTGGGACTGGCATGGCATACAGCAAGATTTGCCTGCTCCTGTGTGTATGGACATGTCCTGGACATTTAGGTTTGTTTTGATGATCAGGTTACTGCCTCTTGTGAGCTGGGTTGTTCAACAACTCATATTGGGCTGTATCTTTTATATAAAGAGTTTGCAATTCTCTTGGCTGGAGTGCAAAAGAACATAGTCATCACGAAAGAAGGGTTTACATTGCTAATGGCTACAAAAACCTATTACTTCAAAGCAAAAATAAAAGCTGTAAGAGGACAGAAATCAGTTCCCAGTATGACACTAACAGAAACCCAGTTCACTCCTACAGCTTATAGGAAACAGAGAAGCTCCAGATCCTGAGCCTCTGAGACACAACTTGGCTCATGCTTGTAACAATTCAGGGTAGAATGGAGGAATAGAAAGGAGGAAAATCATTAGCATTATTTGGTCCAGAGGGGTCCTACCAGACTGCTTTCTGGGTGGATTCTATCTTGTTCTCAGCTGTGTCTGGGGTAGTGCTGGGGTCAGAGCACTGCTGAGCAGCAATCAATCAATTGGTGCCTCTGAGAGACTGGCCTAGCGGCTTTGGGCTACGCACTTTGCTAAGGCAGCGACAGAGCTTCGGGTGAGAGTAAAGACATCTCATGGCAAAACCTCTGCAGACATGTCCACAGTGTAAAATACTAGGTCCATATCTTCATTTCCTGTTATTTTTTTCCCCCACTTTTTCTATCAGTATAATAAAGAAGTTCTAAAAGTGAAAGGCAGATGCTCTTCCTTTAGAGAACTTCAAAGGCAAATAGGGTCTACTGAGAAACAGAAATCCTGTCCCATTGAGGAGACTCTAGGGTGGAATGCATCTCATATGACACCCTAGACAGCTGACTCAGCTAGCCATACACATGCCTAACACTGGTTGAAAACACTTTCATTGCTTTCCATGTGGTCAGCTGTAGTATCATCCTTGGACTCAACCATACCTATCTCAACCATATGAAGCATCAAAGTTTCCAGAAAGTGTGCTTATTGTTGATCACAAGTCAGCTACCCAAAATCATGAAAATGCTGTAAGACTCATGATTACACGCACTGTTGCTGTCTTCTTTCTTCTACTTTTAACTCAGCCTTTAGAATGTTGGGGTATATTTTTGTCATGCTTTCCAATCTTACCCTTCATCTCAGATGTAAGAGTATTCTTCAGTTTTACAACTGAAGTATTATGAGCTATTTTGATATTGCAGTAAGATCTATTTGCTATGGTTGTAACCCAAAACATGAGTTGTAGTGGACTAAGGACAAGCTCAGTCAGACCCAGTGTTGCAATTACAGTCCAGGAAGGACAAGAACAGATACTCCCATTTTACACTGTTTTGAAAGTGTCCTACTGTTTGAACTACAAACATGCCTTCTTTAGGCAACATTTCCCCAGTGTCAAAATGCTGTCAAGGCTGATGACACACAACATTTGCTTCACCTGTCATTATGGGTAACTTATTGGGAAAGCATGAGAAAGCTCTTATGTTTTTCATTACTGATTAGACAAGATTTTAACTAGGACATGTAGAAACTTGTATTGAGTAGAGACCTCAGAGGAACAAGGGAGGTTGCAAGAGGTGAATTATTCCTTGGGCTGAAAGACAAATGCTGTGACAGCCTAAAATCCATCTCTGCACACCTTATACAGGCTGACTCTGCTGATTCAGCAGATCCCAAGATGTAGTGATCTCTTCGAGGCTTCAAGTTCCACTCTGAATATAGCTCTTACCTTTTTTCTCTGTTGAGGATTTATCACTGCACTGAGCAGAAATTCTGACGGCAAAAAGACTTTTATTATTTACTTTCCCCATCCCACTCAAAGGAGAGTTTCAAAGACCTCACTGCTACCCAGAACAAACCAGTTCTTCAAATCCGGACCTGAATGTAAGACTGGTTGCACAGTGAATCATCTGATATGAGGCTTTGGTCATAGTCTGAACTTGTAGAGGCACCTCACAAGAGGAAATGGAGGTTGTAAAATGAGAAGAAAAAGACTCAAAGTGAGAAAGGCTTGGAGGTGAAGGAAGTAAAATGCATTGTAAAATCAACTGTAGCTACTTGGGGTGTGTCAAAGGGGAGATGCTTTACTCCAGTTTCGTTACAGACATACTGGCATTCTTTTTCTGCCAAAATATGCCTCTCCCTTTCTGGTTTCTTGTGTGAGACAGCGGGCAAAGTCAGCACGTTGTCATAGCTCCCCTTTGTGTTGGGAAGCTGTGTGTGTTGTGTCAGAGAGTCCCACCCTGTGCTGCACCCAGGCTGTGCATTGATAACCCTCCTCTTCTAATCTGTAAGGAGGAGAAGTAAGTGAATGGGTTTTTGCAACTTCTTTCCTGAGAAAAGCTTTTGAGCAGTTGAGAGTAGAGTATAAACTGTTCATCTAAACAGTTAGTGGATGGGTAATGGGAGCAATTTCATATGCAGACAAATACCAGTAAAATTTTTCATGCCATTGCTGTCATTCATGAGCCTCTGCAATTATCTGCATGACCTTCGTACTTGTAGGTACAACTGCTAACATAATCTGTGCCATAATTGTGGCTTTTCCCTTCTTCAAGACATATAAAGAAGCACTGTGTAGCCAGGAAATAAGAAATAGGCAATTCACACAGAAGAAAAGGCTGAAAAGCTGTCACTCAGTGGAAGCTGCTTGTTTGCTTTTAATTTTAGATGACATATTTTTACTTTAGATACCATTAGGTATAGATATGAAACATGCAGGAACTCTAGCAAATTCAGATAGACATTGCTCTATTCAGCAGCTTATTTAGCATCTTGAAATCTTGGATCTTACCAGAACTTGCTTATGGTTATGTTCAATAGGCATAATTAAAAAAAAAAAAAAAAAAAAAAAAAAAAAAAAAAAAAAGAAAGAAAAACCTCAGAAGTTTCGGGTATTTGCACGTGAAAGGTCCTTGCCCACTGACCTTTTTTGAAGAGCCAGTGTGAATGCTTATGCTTGCTTCCTATGTTATTATTGCCTTTGCACATTTTCCTTCAGACATCTCTGGCTGAATGCCTGGGCTAAGCATCTCACAGATGCTACAGCTCAGGCTTTCCTTAATGAAATCTACTCTGTGCGAAGATTTATGGCAGTGTAGTTTCTGTACATAATGCTGCTTCCAAACTCCACTTACAATAAACTTAGTTTCCATGGTATGATTGTAGACTTGTCTTTTCAAATCCTACGTCATCTGTGATTCCCTTACTACCCTTTATGGTCCTTTTCATACAATTTTATATGGTCCTTTAAACTTTTCTCATAAATCATCTGTGGCATCCCTCCATGAAGACACCCACATTTCTCAACTTACTTATTTGTTGAGTGTGTTAGATCTAAACCATACTACACAGATTTTTCTTCCAATCCTTATAAAATCTGTATTTCATGAGTGCAATTATTTTTAGAAACATTCTCAGATTTAGGGTGAATATTGCAAAATAAACTATTCAGACAGCCGATATCTAGAGTTAAAACAAAGTATTACTCCAGAAAGAAGCTCAGAAAGTCAAAGGCAGATATAAAGCCACTCCTGAAAATGGGAATGCTTGTGTCTGTTTAAATATAATAGTGAAAGGGAATGGAGAGATTACATCACACCTTCATTGAAAAGCTATTTTAGAGAGCAGTAAGAGGAAGTTGTTTTAAATGTAGAGTAGATGGGTTTTTTTGTGGATCCTACACAAACCAGATTCTAAGTTACATCTTTTTGTCACCATCTACAGTTGTGTTATACACTAACACTTTCTATTTTTTTCAAATACAGACAGCAGATTTGAGGAGTGGGAACTGCCTCTGAAGACTGAAAAATGGGTTTTGGCTAAGAGGGCTTCATAAGTCAGTTCAGACCAGTGTGTCCTTTCTCTCTTACATTGTGTTCATCTCCAAAATAAAGCTTCTTTTTTATGACAAGCTCAGGGAAACCTGTGTCTGACCCTCATTCCTACAAGGACTGCTGTATGGAGCTTCTTCAGAAACATCTGAAGTGGCAGTTGTCAACATGACTGAACGAATGCTGGCAATGATCCCCAGGCAGTGAAAGAGTAAACCCTGCGATGTAAAGCATTAAGAATGCAATAATTTCCACCTCTTAAAAGCAGGTCTCTAAAATGCTTTTATGCTCACTTGTCTTTCTCCTTAAACTGTGACTTTTGCTGCATTATTTACTTTCAAGGCGTAGGGCAAGTAGTAGGATTACAGAGAAGTACAAATTACCATGACACAATAAGGGTCTGGAGACTCAGTGATAACACCTGGTAGTGCTTCCTCAATACTCTGGTTAATATTTACCTGTGGCAAAGGAACTATTTAGTTCCTGATAACTTGGTCATAACTTTTGCTTTCAGTAGCAGAGCATGGTGTATTTGACGTGGTTTGAGAGGTTTTCTGAAGACACAAACCCAGCTTTTGTATCAAGGTCAAACTCTTAGGAAACCTTCTTCCGTGGTGCTCGTTTTTGTTTCAGCTTGTTGAAAATGGCGGGTGTAAGCAGCTGCATGAAGTATTCCATGTTCATCTTCAACTTTTTATTTTGGGTAAGTTCATGTTTAAACTGTTATTAGTGATGTATAAAATGTGTTCACCATTATTTGAATGCTGCAGTTAAAGGAATTGTAAAGAAAATAGAGCATAAGTGGAACCAGAGTATGATTCTAAACCAGGGAGGGGAGAATATGTTTTAACTTTTGCCCTTCCCTTTGTCTTTTTCCTTCTAAATACCTTTCCTTACATATTCAAAAGTAGACAAGCCAGAAGTCTGTCTCCCTGTTTATATTGTGCCCCTCATGTCAAGGGACACTACCCTTCTGAGAAGATAACAGACTGCCTGCTTACAGTTCTCTTCCTTTTATTGTCTGCCTCTTGTGTCCAAATGGTATGATCTTGAAAATGTAGTTGCAACAGAAGATACGGAAAATGTAGTAGATTTTTTAGCCTCCTAATTGATAAATGGTTTTCATATCTTTCTTTGTGGTTCTTTGCTTTACATTCAGTACATAATTCGTTTCTGGTGGTGGACAGTAAATGTTTGTAAGATAGTATGAGCTGGCAGCATCACCAATAGCTGTATCAAGGACGATAGAAGACGGGGCAGCAGGCAGATTTCTAGGTGTCATTTGAACCATATTTGTCTATTTATGACATCTCAGCTGGTTTGCAAGAATTTCAGGTCCTGGAAGCTCTGGAAAGGTTCAAATTAAAGAATATTTCTCTCATGCTTCAACCTCACTGTCTGATTTCCTGACAGAGATTTGTCAGGTTCACCAGAGGTTCACTGAAACCAGAAGGGGAACTACTAGCCACATTATGGGCTTTGCCTCAAGAGATTTTTTACAAGTGGAAAGGTGATACCATTCAAAAGGGACCACAAACAGTAGCCCTTGAAAATTTGTGGCTAGCCAAAATGAGAAGAATTAGCAAAATTCTTTGATAGCTGTGGACCTTACAAAGAAATTCCTGACAGGCCAGCAAAGGTTTGAACTGTCTCCCCCATTTTCTCCCTCCACCTCTATCAAGGCAGACTGAAGATATCTGGCATTTGTGTTGAAGTTTTTCTGCAACAATGCTTACAAAAATCCGTACATTTCTAAACTGGAATTCCTGCCCCTCAGGAAGTTTCTCCTGTTGTGGTTTGACCCCAGCCAGCAATCAAGTACCACACAGCCACTCACTCACTCTCTGACCAGTGGGAACGGGAAGAGAATCAGAAGAGTAAAAGATAGAAAACTCATGAACTGAGATAAAGACAGTTTTGTAGAGCCAGCACGCAAGCAAAGAAAAAAATAAGGAATTAATTCAGTATTTCCCATGGGCAAACAGGTGTTCAGGCACCTCCAGGAGAGGGGGACCCCATCATGTGTGACTTGGGTTACTTGGGAAGACAAATACCATCACTCCAAACATCTTCCCTTTCTTCTTCTTCCCCCCCTTTTATATGCTGAGCATGATGTCATATGGTATGGAATATCCCTTCAGTCAGATGGGGTCACCTGTCCTGACCATGTCTCACATCTCTATATTATCATCCCTGTGCTCAGCACAAATCAAAAACACAGCCCCATACTGGCCAATATGAAGAAAATTAACTTTACCCCGCCCAAACTCAGCACACCTGTTCACATTCATCTGTATTTACTGTAAGCTAAAACAGGGGCAAATGTCTCAGACTAGCATTAGAAAAGTTCCAAACTACTTCTGAAATGAGCGTTTGAACAATGCCCCATGCCTCTAGCATTGGTTTCCTAGTGATTCAAAAAAAGGGATGTGATCCTGGGGGACTCTTGAAAGAAGCAACTTCCCATCTTTATGCCAAAGGTGGAAAATCCATACTCTATTCTGAGGAAGAATATGCTGAGAGCATTTGCCGTGCATATGACTGCCTGGATGGAACAGACAAGGACAGGAATGTAGCTGTATTCAATTATTTTAAGGGAAGGTGTTTAGCACTATCACAGCAGGGAAGAATGGAACAGAGGAGGACAGGCATGCAGCCATATTTAATTTTTTTTTAAATAAGATGTTTAGCACTATCAACATTGGAAAGAACAGATGTGGTGCAAACAGGAATATGTGCTCAAGCAGTACGATGAAAGTGAATGCTTTGGTTCACATTCTGGTCTCTAATTCCTGGAAATCATTAAATTGCTGTAGTAAGGTAGAGGGAACAGTGATTAGTCCACATCCCCTAGTCCCACAACTGCTCTCTCTAGCGCACAAAGCAGTTGACAAGTGGAAAATTACAGATAGTGGGAAATGAAGGTTACTTTAACCTTAACTAGATAAGAATGGCAGTTGCATATTTACCTGGTGTCCTTTCGCTTCACACCCTTTGCAATCTCTCTGGGAGTGTCCCCTCTTACAAAGCTCAGGAACGGCCTTCCTAGCCTTCTGGTGCCTTTTTCTAAGCAGCTGTTACAGCATCACACTAAGTGTGTAAGCCCTGGAATAGTCTAAGATAGCTCTGCAAAGTGACTATGGCTTCACTACATGACATGTGTCCCCTGGTAATCTAGAGCCCCATAAGCCCCATGCCGGGCTCCATCATATAAATAGAGTTTTGCATCTTCCCAGTTTGGTGAAACACAGCTGACCATGGCTTTTTTAAGACCTGTGCTTTGGAGCTGGGTGCCTATATGAAACTTCTAATAGTCCATAAATTAATCCTTGTCACTTTTGTGCATTAAATCTGACACGTATTAAAATATATATACTCCTTACTAAAATTTTGATTTGTAAGTGATGTTTCTTCTTTTGCATGGAGGAAATAGATATTGTAGTATTACCATCTGATTGGTAAGTTCCTGTACATTTAGCTGTATTTACTTCTCCTACTGTGCTGTATTTTTATGGGAGGTCCTATGTAACAAAAAAGGCAGTGTGCCAAATTTTGTTTGGATTTGTAGCAATAGATGCATCAGTGGAAATTTTCACGTTAGTGAGCCCATGTTGTCTGATGGATAGCCACATTGCTTACACAGTGCTGCTGAATGAGACCCAAAAGTAGAGTCATATGATACAATCAGTTTCTAGACAGATTCAGTGGGATTCAAAAGGTTTCACTGGGAGTTCTAGTTAAATTTGATAACATTTTATAGCTGTCATTGATTGTACAGCTTTCCTTTTCATGTTTAAAATGCACTTACAGGAGCTTTACTTAGAGTAGGAAAATATGTGGTACTCATGTCTAAGTGCTGGCTCTGTTCCATATTAAATAATCTGCTGAAGTCATTATGGTCTTTGATGCTGAATATTATACCCAAACTTTTGAGGGGAAGGCATTTTTAAAGAAAAATGATCTAAAAGACATAAAAATAATATTTTTAATTTTAAAAGGTTAAGAATAGTCCCAGCCTTCATGGGAAACTCATAACAACATTTCAGGGCAATTTATGGCTTCACGATTAATGGCATACAGAAGATAATTCTAAATATGACTAGTATCTGGTCCTCAGTGATCTCTCTTTCCTACCAGTTGTCTCAGTAGGCACAATCCTGACTCCTTGTTAGCCTCTTAATTACCTGTCTACAAAATCTAATAAAGAGAAATTCTGTGTAAGAATCATGATGGGCAACGTTGGGAATAGGGTGACTGTTGTACAGTGGAATAACACCTCAATGATCAATGAAACAGGAGCTCAATCAGTAATGAGGGAATGTATCTGGACCTGGGATTCATCTTCGCTGACTTCAACATCTTAAAGCAAGTCATGCTGGTCTAACATTCATATGTACATGACCAAGTATGGTTGTTTTCTGTAAAAATATAATGGAAATAATTACTGCTGGCATTTTATGAGGACTATTCTAAGGACTGGAGATGGCCAGATATTGCTGCATTGGAAACAGCAGAAAGACTTTATTTAGAACTTTTCTAGGTAGTTTTACCATAGAGAATATGTCTCTAGATATATGTCCTGAATAAATCTAGAAACAACATTTATGCAAACATCCCTTACCAATTCTCAGGTTCCCATTACACAAGAAACAACGTTCTTTACAGACATGTTATGTACGTACAATAGCAATTTATATTCCTCTTGCATCTGACAGAATTTCTGTGTGCTTCTCAACCACATGTATAAATCATCAAGGAAATGTGTAGTCTTCTGAGGCAGAAACATCAGGGATTTGGTGCATACCTGAAGATCCAAATTTTCCTGGATATGAATCAATATTCTATGCTCCAGCAATTCATGCTTCTTTCACTTTGCCAAACAAATGATTTCAGAAGTTTGGACAGCATCTGGTGCAATTTGGATATTGAAAGTTAGTCAAAAATTGCTGACATTTCTAACTTGTCTTTGTTTTCTCCTGCAGTTGTGTGGTTCCATTATTTTGGGAGTC